AAGAATGACACACTGCTTCGAAGCATTTCATACAGTCGGAAGAGTGACATCTGCTGGCTGTGCGTCAGAACTGCATCTAAGTGGAAGACCTGAAAAAGCCTCAGGACTGCTCGACACATACTGCTTTGTACTTGTATTTAATAAATGTTTTAAAAACAGTGTGTGTATGTATGTATGTATATATGTATGTATTTTGTATATACCCTATAACCCTAAATAACATCTTATTTTGAAAACCAGATGTAGTCACATGTGTATCCTTCTGCTGCCTGTTGCTAACTCTCCCTGTCAGCTTAATCTGGGCAGCTTGAATGCATTTACTATGAGTGTCAGTATATGGGTGCACTTCAGTTGCAGCGTTTGCTAATTTGAACACAGAGATGCGAGTGACAGCTGGTTTGACTGCAGCTATTTTTAGAACGTGCCCTGCGGGTGACCAGATGCCCGTGGGCACTGTAATGCCACCCCTGTTTTAAGGGGTCACAACCCAAACGTTCAGGAGCCACTTCCTGGGAGACCATCGAGGAAAAATATGAAGTGTGTTTGATTACATTCAGGGTGTGTTAGCAAGATTCAGAACAACAGGAGGGTAATTAAACCTGACGTGCCACCGCTCTCAGAACAACTGTGGCATTTAGCCTCCATAGCAACTGAATAATTATGATGATATGTCTGATGTTTTGAAGATTTAAGGTAAAATTATTACCAAAACTAACGTTATCAAATCATGGTCTAATGTTGTGTGTCTCCTGTGGTTGCTGCAGGTGAAGAAAACGTACAGTAATGGTACATACAGAGCCGGGGCAATGAGACAGATCAGCCTGGTGGGAGCGGTGGACGAGGAGGTCGGGGATTATTTCCCAGAATTCCTCGGCATGCTGGAGGAGTCACCCTTCCTGAAGGTGAGTGAGGACAGTATGAACGGCAGCAATGCTACACAGCGACAGAACAGGACAGTGACAGAGGTATAAACACAGTAGACATGCCCAAATATTTCAGTGCGTTTACACCACCGACTGTTTGGAAATGCCACAAACTGAACAGATGGAGAAATACCACTTGACACAACAACACACCTAATATTCTCAGCGGTGGCTGGCAAAGAAGAGACGTTAAGTTGGTGTGTCAGAGTGATTTGATGCAGCTTCCAGCTTTCAGTTCGGGGGAAGTTGGTTCCCTTTTTAAAAAAATGTGTGTGCGCAGGAACAGACCACCAGAAATACTGTGTTTACTGCCGTCCCTGAAACGCAGGAGTGACAAGCTTTTCTTCTGTTTGCCATTCTGTGTCGACACTTCAAATCTCCGGCGTGCAGTGTGGAGGAGTGGCGTCGTACGCTGAATATCAAAAGACGCACATCCTCTGGCATTTTCTATCCGTCGAGGGCTCTGGCTCTGATTCAGCACCCTCTGAAGCATCTCGGGTGCCAGTGACAAGTTTTGCCAGGGGGTGCAATTTCTGCGCATGAGATTTCTTTTTGGGAGACTGTGGAATAAATAAAATACTTGAATTGGTTAACTGAAAAAGTGAGGGATGTGCTAACACACTGCTTTGATTATTCCTCCCCCCCTTCCTCTGTTTGTCTGTCTGGCTGCAGCGGACTCTCCCATGGGGAACGCTCTCCAGTCTGAGGCAGATGAATCCCACAGAGAGCGACGATGGTCCCATAATGTGGGTCAGACCAGGAGAACAGATGATACCTGTAGCTGATATACCAAAGTCCCCCTTTAAAAGAAAACGGTGAGTACACTACAGTTTACTGCGCATTACATAAACAAACACACACAAATAAAGCCAGTCAATATTTTGGATCCTCTTTAAGCGCTGCAATGAGACAGAATTAGCAGGGATTTTAGTCTCTGTGATTGTTTGTACTGGCTACAAGTCTCTGGTGTGTGTGTGTGTGTGTGTGTGTGTGTGTGTGTGTGTGTGTGTGTGTGTGTGTGTGTGTACCTTATTGAGCCAGCTTGCCTCTGTACTCTCCGCACAGCCCACGAGGACTGATTATGAAAAAACAGTAGCAAAACACACTCACACATTTGAAGCAGCAGCCGCGGTAGCAGCACGAAGCTTTGTTATAGCCGAACAGCGCCGGATGAGGCAATTACACCCTCTCTGTTTGTCTGTCACAGTGTCATTGTTGCTCACACATAAGCTCCGTCTCACACACACGCACACACATATACACACACAGAGGATTTCTGTAAGCTAGACCATTAGAGGGAACGTGTGTGTGTTTGTCTGTGTTTGCGTGTGTGATGTGAGTGAGCGGTATGTGGCTCACCACTCAGATGAGATCATCGTTATGTTAATAGAGTCGACATCAGACGCTACTTCACGTGGCAGCCGGCCAAGCACGGGACAACACACACTGCACACATTCCTCCCATGCAGCAGTTATTTCTCTCTTGTCTCTGTCGATTGGTGGTCACATCAATAGTCATGTTTTAAAATATATTTCTGATTTAAAAGCTGAAACGATCAGTGGATTACAGAAAAATAATCAAGTAGTTTGTTAATAGTTATATTTCGAGGAATTCTTTGCTTTTCTCTGTTTCATGTCATTAACCGGGGCTGAAAATATATTTTTGTTACTGTGCACATGCTAGGACTGTCCTGTATATTAGTTTTTGGACATTGAAGCTTCAGTGAGAGGGGTTATGAGAGATGAGGACATTATAACTTAACAATTAGCTGCTTTGTTAGCATGCAGGTCGCAGCAACATTAACCAGGGGAAAAAAAGAATACTTTCCAAAATGACTAAGCTGTCACTTAAGTTTTCAGGTGATATGCCAAACTGGTTGTAGATTTATATGTCAGGTCCTTTGGGAGAGATCTGGCACTCGACATTTTGGGGGTCATGTTTGCAAATATTGAAACTATTACAGATGCTTGACTTTTTCGACATCTTGCGCGTGTATCTGTAAGCCTGTCACGTGTGGTCAGACTGTCCCAGTTTCAGTCGTGCTGGACTGATGGTGACTGATGTTAGATGAGAACGAGTCAGAGCCACAAAACCACAAAGTTTAAAAGTCCCAATATACAAATTTAAAAACCAAAATTGAATACTGATTTAGACAATGATCGAAATCAAAGTTCTGAAGAATTCGGGTCAGCCTCACTACATACACATGAACATGAACCAAAACATTTTTTGACTGCACCATTTAGTGTATCTGTCCTCCTTTCTCAGTCGTGGCCATGGCTGAATTGATTGGATTTTTTTTATGACAGTTCAAATATGAGGAAATTATGAATGTGATAATGTAAATTAAGCTATCGTTCCCTTTAATTGTCTACAAAACTGTGTAGTAAAATAACTTCATATTTTACATGGTTATAGTCAGGGTCATCCTGGACAGGATACATTGAAAATTTCAGCAAAAATCTGGAGGAAAATATTTATTTATTTAATTAATGAGAGTTTAAAAAGTTACAGTTTCATTTGAGCTTGCTTTCTGTTACGGTAATTTACAGTGAAGCTACTTCAATTTCAATTCAGTTCAATTTTATATATAAAGCCCAATATCACAAATCACAATTTGCCTCACAGGGCTTTACAGCATACGACATCCCTCTGTCCTTATGACCCTCGCAGCGGATAAGGAAAAACTCCCCAAAAAAACCCCTTTAATGGGGAAAAAAAACGGTAGAAACCTCAGGAAGAGCAACTGAGGAGGGATCCCTCTTCAGATTGTATATGGTCATAGTCAGGGACATTTTGACCTGTCATAGAAACTGTGCTCACTTGACTGCTGTGTTTAACGATGCTGCTGTTGTGCTGTGCTGCTCTGTCTCCTCTGTCGGTGTGCTGTCAGTAGGGTGTCCCCAAATACCAGTTTTTGGGCATTGAAGATTTAGTTCGAAATATCCACAACTTATCCAAAATAACTTAACAATTAGCCACTTTGTTAGCATGCAGGTCACAGTAACATTCACCATAATAGCAAAAGAATACACTGCAAGATGGCTCTTACGTGGTGATGGCCAAATGAAGCATTTTCCTTATTTTCTGAGCTCACTAGATGGTGCTCTCGGTTTAAAGAGAGTGGCTCAAAGAATAGCAATCCAGTGTGCTTTCAACCTTTTGTTGAACAAAAAGTGCCATCTAGTGGGCTCAGAAAATAAGGAAAATGCTTCATGAGGCTTCGTTTGGCCATCACTAGTTAGGGTTTTTCAGGTGATTTGCCGAGTTAGTTGTATATCTGTGACATACCAGTTTTCTTCGGCACATGTGGTGCTCACCTTTTTGGGGTCGTCTTCGCAAATTTTGAAACCAGTTCAGGAGCTAGCCATCTGTAAACACTTTCCGTAGTGCTGGACTGTTAGTGACTGACGTTAGATGACAGGTAGTTGGCGTCACTATGTATAAAAGTTCTTGTCTGAGAATTGCTAAAAAATAATTAATGTTGACGCATTATAAATGATGTGGGGTTACTATTTTTATTTTATACACACATATATATTGATATAAACAGAGCATCTGAATACTATTTTTGATGTTAATTATCATGGCAACTATTGGAGCCTCAAGGCTTCCTCTTTTCACATTGCGAGTGGTTAGAAATTTGTTTTCCATTGAGTCAGAAAATTAGTGTGTGGCTTGAGAGAGTGTGATTGGTGTCAATTGCATTTGTCTCATATTCAGTGCGTGAGAGTTGGCAGTCCTAAATGAATTTATGCATCAGTTCATGTAGAGCTGAAGCTCAAATTTTACATGCACTATTTTGCATATGCACTTGGTATATGGAGCCCTGTTAAAGGAATATCTTTGAGCTGTTGGTTGACAAAAAAGAAGGCGTCACCTTGGGCATCAGCAGACTAATATACAACATAATTTTTAGTTACAGCCCTGGTTTGTTTGTTTTCAGTCAGATGTTACTGAGTGAAGTAATAAAGAAAATATAGTCACTTTATCATTAGTGTGTAAACCTGAATCCAGCCTGTCAATACATACATTATGTTACATATGTTATGCATCAGCTGGTGCACAGTGTTTAAAGAGGACAGTTTTGTGTGCAGCAGTGTGAATGTTTGTGTGTGCTGTCAGAAACACTTGTCTAACAGCTGGGGCTGAAGTAATCTGTTTATATAGAGACACAGATGGATGGATAGAGAGGGAGAGGTGGTTTAACTTCCTTTTCTCTTCTTTCTTCTGCGTCCTGTCTCATCCCATCACTCGATTATGAATATATGTGACGTCTACAAACCAAGTTGCACTTTTCTCATAATTTCCCCCCTTTTGGCTCCCAGATCTCTCTTCAATCTCTCTTTCCTTTTCTTTCCTCTCCTCCCACATTTCTCTGTCCTTGTCCTCAAAATATCCATCTTTCTCTCTCTGTTTCAATTACGATCTGTCTTCTGTTTCCTCCCCCTGACCTCTCTTTCCCTCTTTAAGTTGATTTATTGTGCTGTGCCGTTATTTTCAGGAACTCTAAAGTGTGTTGGAAGAAAGCACATATATTGGATATGTCTCAGCAGTGCAGGGCTTTTTGTTTATGTCTGTCTGTGTGTATGAAGAAGAAGACATAAAACCGTGTGTTTGAAATAAATAATTCGAAGAGCAGAGGAAGAGAGGACGTGATGTTATTTGCAGTTTGACCGTATGCTATGTTAGAGGAAGGAAGGCTGCTTGTGTATGGGGAACATCTCTTCACACAGCGCTGCTTCTGTTTCTCAGCGGTTTTGGTGAAAAGGTTGAGCCACTGTGCGTTTGTGACGCCGCTGAGACTCTCAGTCTGAGAATTCAGCTTGATTATAGTGGTCAGACGATGAAAATAAACCAAAATATTTCAGCTTTTAGCAAGAGAGCGCAGCTCTCCCAGAGATTTACAATAATTGCATAGTAACGGCAGCAGCCCTGGCAAACAGGACGGAGGCCTGACACAGACACAGAGCACGCTGTTCCTGTTTAGATACAAACTGCATGACGAATGACAGACGACTTGAGTCCACCTGCAGCTGTCTGCAAGATGTCAAACCTCATCGTTCTCAGACTCAAGTGGAGCTGAGGTGATTGACAATTAATCTATTAGTCAAGCAACAGAAAATTTATGGGCAGCTATTTTGATTATCAGTTAATACCTTGAGTAGAATTGCAATGATTAATTAATCAGTTGGCAACTATTAAATTAATTCTCAACTAATTTATGATATAATAATCAATTAAATAGTTTGAGTAATTAAGTAAGTGCAAGTTGCCCCCTCAGAAATGAACAGTAGAAATACAAAAGACAAAATAAATAAAATACAATAAAAGCTCTTATGGGTAGTATGACCAGCAAGAAGTTCAGCACCAACAACAGAATGGATATCTGTATAGATGCATACAGTACAAGTACACAAATGTTGCTTGTCCAACCCATTATGAACAAGTATCTGTACATACATGCATTCTAGTTTGGGCATTCTGGTTTGAGTAATTTTTAAAAATGAAATTAAGTCAAAATTCTCTGATTCCAACTTCTTAGGACGCATTCACACTGGCGCTATCTGGTCCGCTTTAAACGAACCCTGGTCCACTTCCAGGGATAGTGTGGTTTGTTTGTAGTGGTGTGAACGCTCATTTGAACTCTGGTGTGGACCAAACAATTGAACACTGGTCCACTTGAAAACTGGGGGTCTTGGTTTACCTGCAAGTGAACCCTGGTGCGGTTCGCTTACAGTGGGAAATGCAAACAGACTATGCAGCAGACCAAAGAGAGGAAGTGAAGTGATTTTGGTGTTTGGTGTTTTTGTG